CACATCAGGGGCTTTTTGGAGAGAGAGGCCAAGCCCTGGCTGGCAGAGTTACATCCAGACAGTAGCAGTGATGAATGGGATGTGATTCGTGTAGCAAATGTGCTCCTGTGATGGAAATCACTTTGCTGGAGGATTGATGATGCTCAGCATGGGTCAGTTCATCTCTCCCAGTTCCCTGTCCTAGATCCTGGCAGACACAGAGACCACAGCTCACCCTCCACCAGCCCTGAGCATCGCTCACACTGTAGGACTGACTCAGGGCACCAAGGGGATTGGCTTTTTGGATGGAAAATTTTCCATTTGTTGGGAGCTTGGGCAGCACAGCTGAAAACAGCTTTGCAGCCCCAACTGAAAGCTGCCCAGGGCTGCAGAGAGGCTGCAGAGACTAAGACACAGGCTATGCACTCTGGGGGAGACAAGCAGATTTTGAGGGATCAAAGTGGTCCAAAAGAGAGTGTTTCTCACTTTGGCCTGCAAATAAGAGTGGAAGTTGCAAAAGGGTAAATCCTTGCTGGAAAACATTAGGAGGAATGAAAGCTGGAGACTTCTGTGCTACCAAGTGAAAAGGTGTTTGGGACCCAGGGATCAGATGTTGCTTTTAAGCTCCTACTTCAGCCTGCATCAGTACTGCACTCAAGAAATTATTTGAGAACAGTGATATCACCTGGGGATGGGACTCCAGTTCCCCATGAGTAAGTGGTTAAACCCATGCAATTTTGTGATTTTCTTTTCCCAAGGTCAGGACCATCTTGCAGAACCCCTGGGGATAACAGAAGGGATTTTTCCTGCTTGTTGGAAGCACCACTGCCATGTGATGCAGGGCAGCTGGGGAGAACTGAGGAGCCACATGTGGTGGAAGAACAATGCCAGCCTGCCTCTGGGATTGGGGCTGCAGCAGCTTTCTCTCCTGTTGTATTTCAAGAGGGTTTTAGTAACTCTTGGGACCTCTTTAAACAGACTGTCTGATTCCTGGCAGTGTATTTTGAGCGCCCAATTTGTTTCATGGCACAGAAGCATTTGTGGACCATGATGTTTCTATGTCAACACGTGCTTGAGGAGGGTTTTCTTTCACCAGAAGTGGCAGGTGTTAGAATCCAGATCAGAGCTCTCTCCACATCATTATTTTTAGAAAAGGATTTCTATTTTTAATAAGACATGTTGATATGTTTTCTCTGTGTGGGATTAAAAGCACTTCAGGCTCATGGAATTTTGCTTTATAAATCTGTGGGAGTGCAGATTTCCTCCACTCTTGTCCACTCTTGTTATATTGCCTTTGTGAAATGGGAATAATAAACCTTGTCTGCCTCCTGAAGGGGCAGAGAATTAACTCTTTGAAGTTTGTAAGACCATATAAATGCCTTCCTATTATGAAACTTACTACTGCTCAGGGCTTTTAAACAGCTGCCACATTTCACTTCAGAGGAGGTTGCCTTGAACTGGTAGGTGAAGTGAACACAGTATATCAGGGTGTTATGCTGAAAAAAAACTTTGGGATCTGTTAGATTGAAAGGCCCTATATAAATATGAGTTATGTGTAGAAATAGATTTTATAACCCTATCATTCTCCTCTGGTGTACCTCTTAATCTAAGGGTTTCACTATCTTTTATGAACACTTAACAAGACCTATATTAAGCTTCAAACCTCTTCAGAGCACATATTTTACACAGAGTCAATGCAGAGGGGACAGACCCATTTTTTTGCCCAGCTTACACAGCAGGTCAGCAACAGACCTGCCTGGCCTGCTCTGGTAATTAGTAATTCATAATGACCTGCTGCACAGAAAATGCTGAGAGAAAGAAAGGAGCTTCAGGAGAAGATGGCCTCTAACGCTGTCATGGTTTGAAAGATTCACTGCCTCTTCCTCTCCTTTCAGCTTTTCTAGGAACAGCTGAAGATTGATGGTCTCGTTTAACAAATGTAGGCTCCTGTTAAGTGGTTTTGGATTATAGGCTCAAGGGCCAGTCCATGAGCCTGGTGTCTCTGTGTTTGATCTGCATACATCCATTCCCATCCTGTTCAGGAATGCTGGGACAAAATAATAAGTAAAAGCTTGTGATCATCTCAATTAATGCTGTTCTGGAGACACAATGGGGAAACTGAGGCAATTCCAGACCATTCTATACTGAGAGTGACAGAGTTTGGATTGATAAAAGATGTAGGAGAACAGCATATAAGCATTTTTTTGAAGAAAGATGCATGAGAATTTCACTGCTCTTATTTATTTTATAATATGCATTTCTTGCTTTGTGTCTTCAAACTACCCAATGAGCATTAGCTAATTAACCTTTCCAGCGTGGCCTGTAAAATTGGTAAATATTATTCTTGCTCTAGAGCCAGAGAAGTGAAAACAAGAAGACACAGTGGCTCCACTGAGCTCACCCAGAAAATTGTTTTAAGGCCAGAAGTGAAGGCTCCAGATTGTTGATGACCATCATCATCTGTGCTGCCATGGGTGTGCCTGTGTGTGGCACCTTTCTTAGAGGAATTAACAGCACAGGCCCCATTTGTCAGTATCGAGATGCAGCATGAATTCTGATTTCCAGCCCTGTCAGCCACACACGCTTCACTGAGCATGGGGCTGCTAGAAGGGACAAAGCAGAACATGGTCCCACTGTGCATTCAATGCTCTGTTGCATTTCCAGGTGCCATGTGAGTTAGAAATTCAATACTGTGAGACAGCCCCTTCTTTTACAGACACTTTATTTACAGCCACCAAGTAAATTGGTTTTTAAAAAGGCATCTGAATTTAGGACGTTTCTTTCCACCAAACCACTGAAATTCCCAGGCAGGTGAACAGTGAAGCATGAGGGTACCCTGGGTGTGGAAAATAAACCAATTTCCTATACCTGTTCTCAGTTTGAGCTAAAGTTTCCCTATGAAAAACAAGCAGCCTGCACTATGGATGGAAATAATTTCCCTTTTTTGCGTAACGTAAGTCTTGATAAAAAAAAAATAGATAAAAGCGAAGCCTAAGAGCTTCACACCATTTCTCCCAGTTTGATGATCAAAGGTGCTTTTTGTTGTTTCTGCTGGCCCTGTTGTTTTACACGGAGAAGATTCAGCAAGCAGGGAGCACGGGGAAGAGGATTGAACTCCAGGAGCGAGGCACAGACGGGACCTGGAGGTGACACATTTTGTACTGAACATTTCATTAGCTCCCACAAGGCTGACGCCTGTTCATTAGGCACAGACATCCCGGCGCAATTGCCCATGCAGCTCTGCAAGGGATCCCATCGCTTTATCCCGCCGGTGCCGCATACAAAGCAGGAAGGCTCCAGATTTCCAGCCAGCTCCTCAGTAGGAGCTGTAATTAGGGATCCTGGTCCATCAATATTTCACCACATCTGCTCCTGATCTTGCTGTGGGATGTTTTTCTGTAGCTCAAGTGCTGCTTAAACTTATCTCCTTGACAACTCTTTAGTTTAAACAAAGATTATTTTGGAACAGGAGCTGTCAAAAAACCCAGCAGCTCCAGGAAGTTTTCTTGTTAAAATATGTTGGCTCGGCAGCACCATCTTCTGTCCTGCCCTTCAAACAGCCCGGGATGTCACACTGCCAGCGGGAGCGTGTGCCTGGGCTGGCTCGGGGCTAAAGAACACTGGGAATAAAACTGAGTCGAAGCCATAAAGCACCGAGAGCACAGCAGATGGGAAACCCGAGTCCAGCTCTGCAGGGACCGGCCAGCCCTGGAATCCACCGGCAAATCGCTCCCTCTCAAGGCTTTTGGGGTGATGCTCTGGTTGTTCTCCTGCTCGGAGGATTTGTCACGGCTGCTGTGGTTTTTTGGGGAGCAGGGGCTCGGTGCTGCTCAGCACAATCCGTCTCAAGCTGGCTGAGCCACGCTCTCCCTGGGTTTTTGCTGCTGGTTTTGCTCGGCTTGGAGTCACCAAGTTGCTGGATGGATGCTCCTTGCTTGTGCTGCTTGAATGGCAGGTCCCACTCAGCAAAGCCCAGGGAGCTCCAGGGACAGGAGAGGAGGAAAGACTCAAAGGAGCCAAGGCAGACAGTGAAAAATCAACAACGGTGAGAATTCAGGAATTGCAGAAAGAGCTGCTCCTCGTCCCACTCCTCCACAGCACATTGGGATTCAGGCAGAGATTTGTGGCATGAAGGTTAAATTAGGAGGGCAGCTACAGTCATTTCTCATATGTTCCAGCTGGCTGCTGTCTCCTCAGCATCCTGCACACATCCTCTGGGCTGGCAGCTCACTTTACCTCCAAAATCAGCTCTGCTTCTTCATCCCACCACTCAGGCAACACCCATGTATCTCTCTACGGTGTCTGCAGGAGAAGGAGAGGCAATATCTGTATTTACCTTTTACTTTAGTGTGTTGTTGCAGGCCTTAAGTAATTAATATCTGAGCAGCTCAGATCCTCGTGTGACAATCATCACACAACAGAAATGCATTCTTATGAAAAACACAACAAAGCCCTTAAATCTGAACCACAGCAGCTCCCTTGTAAGAGACACTCAGTGGCAGGATTGTGCAGCACAGCAGTCTCACTTTAATATACAGAGCAGGGGACTGTAAGAAATACTTGGAGAGCAGCCACAGCTTTCACAGCAGCTGCTGCTACGTTTTTGTGAGGATGAAGTTCATTTCAATTATAGAAAGGCTTGTGATCACCTGCTAGGAGGAGGGTTTCAGCTGTTCAGGAGGCCGGGGGTGTGTACACAGCTATGTTTAAATGGCAAATGTGCAGCACACTTGGTGCCATCCCATTTACAGAGCACTCTGCACACATCCCCTAATGAGGTGTTTAACTATAGGTTACTTCTTTCTTTATAGTGTGATATCAATGGACTTTTTAAGGAGGAGATTTAAAGGAAGTGAGGAGAGGGACTAAAATAGACATCATTTGTGCTGCTGTGTTGCTCAGGCTCTGTCAGAAGAGGGCTAAGCACCATCCCTTCTGGTGCTGCTGCAACTCTTCATTTCTTAAAAGGCAGCCATGAAATGTCCTGTCCCAGTGTAAGCACACAAACCCACAGCAAAAACTCAAAATGACATTTTATTTTGCACAGACATTGATGGACAAGATGCTGAGAAACCCATATGGAAGCCTGGAGGGAGAACAGGAGGGACTGGAAGCTGGGACAGAAAATGGGTATGCAAGGAACGGTCTCTGGGAGAGGATATGGTTTGACACAACCTTTCTGCCAACCCCAAAGGGCTCTTCACGATGTCACTGGGCCCAAGCAGCCAGAGCCTCATGGGTGCAGTGTGGCAGGGAAGAGGCTTACAGGGATTGCTCCAGGTTAAAGTGTGTTTTGCACAGTACTGTACTGAACAGGCTGTGTGTCCAGCCTGTCCCATTTCCTTCCTCACTCCAAACCAGGTGCATCCACAGACCTCTGCAGCTCCTGAAGTTCAATCGTATTAAGACTTTGCCCTTCTGGGCCCTTATGTGTAGGAGGTTTGCAGAATTAGCAGCAGATGCTCCCACAAGAAATCCTGGTATCCCAGTGTGACTGCAGGAGAAGGCAGAGAGGGAGAATGGCACCCATTCACCTCCCAGTCCCCACTGGGGATGTCACCTTGCAGAGCTGGCCAGCAAGGTCACCACTGGTGCTCTCCTTCCTACTGTGTCTGTCTTGTGTGTCTGTCTCTGTGTCTTCCTGCTGTGTCTCAAACCCCACAATCACTGTGAAGGTGTCAAAAAGGGGGAGGAAGAAAGAGGCCAAAGGACTTGACCGCTCAGGCAGAAGGGAAACATTTCAGGGTGACAAAAGCTGTGGGAAGTGACTTTTGGTGAGGAGGTCTGGCACTTCATGTTCTCATAGAGCTGCTGGCAGGCAGGTCACAGCTCCTGTTTGACCTGGGAAGCAATGTGGTTTGATTGTCCTTTCAAAAATAAATTAGGAAATGGCTAATGCAAATTTTTAATAAGTGTCAGAACCAAAGAAGCTTCCTAGCAGTTTCCAAAATTATGCCAGAAGGTTGCTCTCACAGGAATTAATTTTGTCTAATTAAATATCTTCACAGAGCTCTCCAAGTATCAAACCACAACATCAACATGCAGCACTCTGCAGACTAATCGGAGTCACACTGGAATTGGCATCGTGTGCTGAAGTGTCAACAGATGGAGAGGGTGGTCATGATGGAGGAGGAGTGGGACAACAAACCTCCCTTTCCACTTCTGCCCCAAATGACACACTTCACCCCCATCTCAGCTCTCCCATCTGTTAAATCCATGAAAATACTTCATAAAGCACGGATTCATCCCGAGGGCAAGCTGGCTGTGGGCACAGAGCAGGGCAGCAGGGGTGTTGAGGGAGCTCAAGAGCTTTGGATTTTTTGGATGAGGATCAGATGAGCAGGGGTAGAAGGATCTGGGGGATTGCATCTCACTCTGCACTATAGCAATGGGACCCTCACTGTTTTCACCCCTGAGCATTCAGGCCTGCCCAGGGACTCTCAAATCTCTGTGTTTTGTTGTACATTGCAGCAGAGACAGCCCTGAGGGTTGAGCTGCATCCTGGAGGCAGAGGGTTGCTGCCAGCTCTGCCCTGGAGCATCTTCTTCTTGGATTGCTGATTCACATCAAAAATCAAGTGATTTTCCTTCCAGCCTGATTCAGTTACTGGCTCTTTCTTTTCCTTATTAATGTCCCTAGGAAGTGAAAACCTTGTGTTACAATCAGCTCTGTTGCTACCCCCAAGTTGCTGTTCTGAACTCCTCCTCATTATTGAGGAGGATTTACACCCATGGCTGTGTTTTGGCAAGATGGTGGGGTTCCTGACACTTGGAAAAGAGAGCTTGTTAAAATGTCCCACACGTCAACACCTCCTGTTTTAAAAAGCTAGGATTATTAGTTACAAATCAGGTCAAATGAAAAGAAAAATAAGTGAGAAATAGCAACATCTTCAGAGGAGTATAAATAGCTGGTCAAAATTGCTGGTGCAGCCTGGTGTAACACAGCCATTCCATACAGGGTCAGTTATTTCTCCAGCTGCTCTGAAATCCCACTCGCTTTGCTACCTGTTTCGAGCATTTACCCTGTTTATAGGAGACATTGTACCCAGTGAAACTCTGGATGAGATTGGACGTGGATGCTCCTGGAAAATCCTCCCTGTGTCAGCTGCAGCTGGCAGTGCAAACCTGGTGCCTCAGCACTGCTCAGGGTCACCTGCCTGCGGACAGGAGCACCTCACCTGCTCAAAACTGTCAAATCACTGATCCCTTGCAGCAGACAATATGATTATTGCGGGGTATTCTGGCGTTTTTTAGTGAAGTGACACACTCTCAGATGAATTGTTTGTATGCTGGATGATTTCTGTTGACAGGGATAGTCTTTCTGCAGCAGGAAAAAAATCAAAAGTTGACCTTTTCTCTCACAAATAATACAGGAGATGAACAAAATTATCAGTGCTGTGTGTCTATGTCCATTTAATTTTTTTTTAATTTTTTTTTTTTATGGCATCTCCCATTGCCACGGGTCTGATCCCTGGAAATGCTGGCTATTAGAACATCTCCCACAGGTGGACAGGGGCTAAAGAGAATTTTCAGCAGGAGAGGGAGCTCTCTCTGCACCAACTGCTGGGGAACCAACGCTTGCTGCAGGCAATAAAATGCCAGGGAAAAGCTGTGCTCACCATTTTGTCCTCATGTGTTCTCTCATATGCTCGCAGGAATTTCACAGGCTGTTTAACTGCAGTATTTGGGCTTATAGATCTAGTGACGCTCTATAAATCTAATAGTAAAACGAGCTTCCATGTGGGGTGTGCATTCATTTGGTCCAAGAAGAAATAACACACCCACTTAAACACAACAGCTTTTGGAGGAGCTTGGCCCTGGACAGGGAGAGCACACTTGTCACATCCCTTAGGGAGCTGCAGGTGGGAAAATTTCCCTTCTTTCAAGAAGTTTACAGCTGTGCAAGACAGAGACACAGTGATACTGAAATTACTCTTAAAAATTAAAAAACTAGATCAGATGAAAGTATTGTTGCCCTTCTGAGGGGAAGGGAGGGAAGGGAAGGGAAGGGAAGGGAAGGGAAGGGAAGGGAAGGGAAGGGAAGGGAAGGGAAGGGAAGGGAAGGGAAGGGAAGGGAAGGGAAGGGAAGGGAAGGGAAGGGAAGGGAAGGGAAGGGAAGGGAAGGGAAGGGAAGGGAAGGGAAGGGAAGGGAAGGGAAGGGAAGGGAAGGGAAGGGAAGGGAAGGGAAGGGAAGGGAAGGGAAGGGAAGGGATGCCCGGCTCCCGTTCCAGTGCCCGGCTCCCGTCTTGGTGCCCAGTGCCTGTTCCAGTGCCCGGTGCCCATTCTGGTGCCCGGCTCCCATCTCGGTGCCCGGCTCCCGCCCCGGTGCCGGCTCCCGGTGCCCGTTCCGGTGCCTGGTGCCCGTCCCAGTGCCCGGCTCCTGTCCTGGTGCCCGGTGCCCGTTCCGGTGCCCGTCCCGGTGCCCTGTTCCCGGCGCCCGTTCCGGTGCCCGGCTCCCGGTGCCCGGTTCCCGGCTCCCGGTGCCGGCTCCCGGGCGGGCCGGTGCCCGTTTCGATACCCGGTTCCCGGCTCCCGGTGCCGGCTCCCGGTGCCCGTTCCGGTGCCCGTTCCGGTGCCCGGTGCCCGTTCCGGTTCCCGGTTCCCGGCTCCCGGCTCCCGGTGCCGGCTCCCGGTGCCGGTTCCGATGTCCGGCTCCCGGTGCCGACTCCCGGTGCCCGTTCCGATACCCGGCTCCCGGTGCCTGTTCCGGTGCCCGGCTCCCGGTGCCCATCCCGGCTCCCGGTGCCCGGTGCCTGTTCCCGGTGCCCGGTTCCCGGTTCCCGGTGCCGGCTCCCGGTGCCCGTTCCGGTGCCGCCGCGCGGGGGCAGCAGCAGCGGGCGGGTTCCAGCGGGACAGAGATGGCGGCGCCGCATCCCGGGAATGCCGCGGCGCCCGCGGAGCTGCCCCGCTCTGAACCGCAGAACCACGGGCGGTTTGCGCTGGAAGGAACCTTTCATGGGCCGGGACGCCTCCCCCTACACCAGGCTGCTCCAAACCCCATCCAGCCTGGCCTTTAATATTGCCGGGGATGGGGCACGCACCACCTCTATGGGCGTCCTGTGCCAGTTTCTCTACCCTCGTTATAAATAAAACCTTCCTTGTATCTAATGTAAACCGACTTTCCTACAGCTGAAACCATTCTCCCTTGTGTCCCGACAGACCCTGCTGAAAGGTTGGTTCCCATATTCCTTGTGAGCACCTCTAGGTACTGGAAGGAGCTCTAAGGTCCCCCCTGAAGCTCCTCCAGGCTGAACGTCCCCAGCTCTCTCCCTGTCCCCAGAGCAGAGGTGCTTCAGCCCTGTCAGCATCTCTATCGCCTCCTCGGGGCTTGCCCCAGCAGCTCTGCAGGTGGGATTTCACCAGTGAGGGGCAGAATCCCCTCCCTCCGCGCTGCCCACGCTCCTCTGGATGCACACCAGGCTATGTTTGCTCTGTGGGCTGCCAGCACACATGGTCAGGCCATGTCCAGCCTGTCACGTCCAGTCTCACACCCACCAGCACCCCCAGCCCTTCTCCAGACACTCCCGAGAGGTTCCCTTCCATCACCCCCAATGTGCTCCATGAGGCCCCTCGGCTGTGCTTTGCTGGGAATGGCTGTGGTGTGGCTGGGATTTAGCTCCAGTCACTGATAAAGGCAATGTCATGCAACTGGCAGGGTGTTAAAGTGGATTAGAGCTTCATTTAGGGTCATTAGAGTGGATCAGGGTTTGATTTAGGGGTGTTAAAATAGATTAGGGTGTGATGCAGCAGGCCCCAGATTTAAGGACTTCATGCTGCTCCTGCTGGGTGGTAAAATAAGGTTCTCCTACCTTTGTCCTCTGGGATTCCCCAAAGGATCTGTGGGAGTTTAATTGTATTTTCTCTCGTATTTTTTGCTTTATTTCATCCTGAGTATTTAATTTGAATATCTGATGTAGTTCAATTCTCCTGGCTGTGAACGCACGGAATAAGGCAGATTTCAGCAGCTCTTTCATGACTTTATTTTTCTTGTGTATTTTTTTTTTTCTTGGCAATAGGAAAATCTCATTTCCAATTTACTGCTGTGGACAAAGCAGTACACGGCAAAGATGTATTTCCTTTTCACACTCTGTGTCGGTTTTGGCTGGGTTTCAGGTCTGACCTCTCCCTATATACCAGATGTTTGTGCCCTGTTGTAGTTGATGCTGGAGAGAAAACATTGCCAGACAAGCAGATCTTCTTTTTTCTCCTTTTTAAGGAGAAAATCCTTGAAAAAAATCCTTATCCTTGGCTCAGAAGAGGAGGTATTTAAGTCTAGTGGTATCAATTTGATTAAGAAAACAACATTTTCCATTTTATGTTGTTTCTTCCATGTTGGGATATTCTCAAACACTAGGAAATTACACAATCTGAATGACTGCTTAACTCAAAATTGCAACAACTCACAATTGCAACAGCCTTTGGAATGAGCTCATGCCTGACTGCTGAAACAGAATATTCACTGATAAAATATTTATGTGTTTAAAGAAAAAAGCCTACAGTGCATACCTTAAAGCCATGACTTACATTTCAATCTCATAAACAGATGGGGAAAACCATTGGGTTTGTTTTGTTTCTCAGTGTAACAGAGCCATATTCACCTCTCAGCTTTGGGCACAAAGTTCATGACAGAGAAATGGCATTTCAGGACTGATTTAATCTCTCTGTATTTCATAGTTACTTCCTTGAGGCACACAGGGGACCTCAGCATTTCCCAGTGACAACAGAACTGAGTTGTGGACCTGCCTGTGCAAATCTCCCCAGCCAGCAGCAGGTAAAGGTTTAGGGGCTGGAGCAGTCCCAGACCCAGCTAGAGGAAGGAAATAGGACCAGTGGGCCATGTTAACCAGTTCTTTAATGGAAACTCTAACAGACGCTGGCACAGCTGGGATGAAAACTGATGCAACTCTCCCAGGAGGTCACTGGTCTCATTAGGTACATATTTAACAGGAGTAAATTCCAGTGCTGAGCCAAACCACAGCATCAGAGGTGAAATCAAAGTCCCCAGGGAAACCCAGCATCCTCTGAGCACTACTTTAATCTCTCAGCCACCTTTGGTATTGACATTCATTTCTCCATGAAAGGGTTTTTGTTTACTTGGGATAATGTGTCATTCTTCCCTGGGGAGCTGGAATTTTATCCAGGTGCAAGTCATAGCAAAGCTTTGCCAAATGCCCCATGCACTGCAGCGGGTGGCACAGGGAAAACTTCAGTTCCTGGGTGGAAAAGGACAAGCTGTGGTGCTGGCATTCACCTGACAGCAGGGTAAGACTGGGGTACCAATGTTTGCCCCAGCCTGCTGGGGACTTGAGACGAAGCACAGTAGCCAAAATACCAATTTCCTCTTTCAAGTGCTCTCAGGGGTGCTAGCTTGGCATTATGTGTGTCCTGCAGTGGAATGTGCACCCGTTAGCATATTCCTCCAGAATGAATCGGACAAATGGGACATGATTCTCCATGAGCAGGAAGTAAAGCCTCATTTCCTGTAAATCTGCGTCCTGTATTACTAGACTCCACTGTGAAAAAGAATGCCTCCCCACAGCAAGCAGGCAGTGTGTGATGTGATGACATGCACACTAATGAGCAGGCTGAAAGACAGCTGCCTGGATGAGCACACAGAGCAGGATGGCAGATGGCCACGCTCACAGGCTTCCTACCCCACTGTCTGGAGGCCAAGTGGGAGAAAGAGTTTTCAGGAGACACACAGAAACTTCTCTTCAGTTCTAAAACACATCTTTCAGGGACGGTTGGATGTGGCATTGGAGCTGGGCTTTTCTGGGCTGGGCTGGGCTGGGTTGGGCAGGGCTGGGCAGGGCTGGGCTGGGCTGGGCTGGGCTGGGCTGGCTGCTGTCTCCCCTGACACCACAGAACCTCTACTTCTGCATCTCCCAAACATCCTCAGCAAGTCTGGAGCTGCAGATATCGTCACACCAGAACAAGCTCCTGTTGGCTGGAGCCGGAGTTGTTTCCAGGCTTTGCCTTTTTGGGGGTAGCACAGGAGTACAAGCTGAGCTTAGAAAATGTGTAAATGCTTAAACCAGAAGTGGGCTAACTTGTTTCTAAGAATGAAAGAGTTGGTAGGCTCCCTCTTACAGGTCATCTTCCTGCAGTTCCTCTAACATCTGGGGTGGCAATGCAGAGAAGGCCGTGGGCTCTTTCTCTTTGATACCTGCTGATTTCATGGTGCACATGCTGTGTGCTGTGTGCTGGGTTCAGAGAGAAAAACTTCCCCAAGTCCTTGGTGCTGCTGGCTGCAGGCATCTTGCACTCCTCTGTCTCAGTCCCCTATCTCCACTCTGCGTGTGCTGGCTCTTGTGCTCATGGAACTGATCCAGCTGAAAAGTCAAGAAAAAAGGAAAAAGATGGAGTCTGAGCCTGGATGAATCCCATCAGTCTGGCTGACGGTACAGCCACTCAGTAGCAAGTGTTTCTACAGAGAAGGGGCTGCTTTGTCCTTGAGCAGCAGCTGATCTAGAAGCCAGCTTTTAAAAAACATGTTCCATGAGCACTCCTGCCTCCCTCCAGCCCCATCTGCCGTGTCCCAACCCAGCAGTGCCCCTGCTCTGCTGGTGCTTTCAGCCAGGGCTGAGCTGGCTGGGAGCTCCTGCTGAGTCGTCAGCTGAATTAATTCTTTCCCCAGCACCCTGGGTGGCTGTGTGTCACCAAGGGAGATGAGAAGGACGTCAGTCTCTTCCCTTAACACTACAATGGATTTGTGCCCAATTAAAATGACTATTAACTGTGGCCCTTCATTAGTAGGACTGACAATGGAAACTTTTAATCAAGTGTTTGGCTCGCAAAGAGGCGGAGGATCACTTCTCCATTTATCACGGGTAAGTTACAAAAAAAAAAACCCAACCTAAAAAAATTCCCCGTGAGTAATTTGAGTGCAATACAGCTGGGTTTTAAAATTCATGATTTAGGCGTGGGAGGGAGAAAATATATATTTAAACCCCTGCTTTCTCCGCCCAGCCAGATAAGTTTAGCAAGGATCA